GCGCGGCAGGGCGCTGAAGACGTGCGCGCGGAGGTGTGCACGATGTGCGTACCCGCGGCGCCCCTCTATGCAGGAGGCTTCTATGCACCGCCACCGTGCCTGGCCATGGCCGCCCTCTGCCCTGGCACGGTGTCTGCGCCCTCCTGGCCGAGGCCAGGCGGCTCCACACACCATCCTGAGGCCCAGGGTGGCCCTGGCGAGGCACGGCGGTAGTGCGTAAGTGGGTGCTTCCTGCGGGCCCCCCTGCGCCATGCTCAGACGCCTCTCCTCCGCGCCCGCGTCCTTTCGTCGCCGTCCCGCCAGCGCGCGCCGCGCCCCCGCGCGCGCGCAGGCCCCGCCTCACGCCGGCCGCCGCGGCCCGCCGCGCGGCGGGGCGCCGGGCGGCACGCCACCGCGCCGAAGATGTCGGACTCCTCGCGCGCCACGCCCTCGAAGTCCCAGAACGGGCGGCGGGTGCGGTGGCGCAGGCGCGGGTCGAAGCACGCCAGGGCCGCTGGGGCCTCGTGCCTCCGCCCGCCGCCGCCCGCGCGGCCGGCTCGCCCGGCAGGCCCGTGAAGGCGCCCTGGGGAAGCAAGGAGATGCCCGCTTGCTCCGCGGCCCTCTCCTCGGGTGCGCTCTGGCCAGGATCCCGAGGCGGAGCCGGCGTGGCGGCAGCGGCACCGCTTCCTCAGCCGACGTCCGGCGCCGCGCCCGCGAGGGAGTCGTCGCGCGCAGCTGGCGGCCTCCGCGAGCTCGGCCCGCACGTCGCCCGCGCCGAGGCCCAGCAGCGCCGGCACGAGCCGCCGCGCCCAGGCGGCGGAGGCCTCGGTGCGCGGGCGGTGCGGCAGCTCCGCGGCCAGCGCGCGCCACGCCGCGCGCCAGTCGCCTGCGGCGTCGGCGAAGGGCAGGCTCGGCTCGCCCGTCGGTCGGGCCGTGCTGCGAGGTGGGGATAGGCACACGTCCACCGCCTGTGGAACCGACGTCCTGAGGTCCCAGCGGGCGGTGGGTATGGATTCTCTGTTGGCCTCAGAAAAGGGCCCAAATGTGTCCATGCCCACCGCCCGCCAAGGGCCTCTAAACGCGAACCCCCAGGCGGTGGTTATGGATAAATCCCCGCAGCGGACCTGCGGTACCAGCTCCCGCCGGGGAAGAGGATGACGACCGGGATGCACCAGGTCATCCTGCCGCGCGTGAGGCGCATCCGGAAGACGTTGTCCCCGGGCATCACCTTGGCCAGCTGGGCGACCCAAGGGTGGTCCATCCGCCCGTCGTCGTCATGAATGTCGTCGTCCTCCTCCAGCATTACCTTCCTTCTCTCTTTCCTTCTCCCCCTCACCCTTGCCCTAATCCTCCTCCTCCTCCTCCTCCTTCTCCTTCTCCTCCTCCTCCTCCTGCTCCTCCTCCTCCTTCTCCTTCTCCTCCTCCTCCTCCTCCTCCTCCTCCTCCTCCTCCTCCTCCTCCTCCTCCTCCTCCTCCTCCTCATCGTCGTCTTCATCGTCATCGTCATCGTCATCATCAGCATCATCAGCATCATCATCACCACCACCACCATCGTCATCCTCGTCATCATCACCACCACCACCACCATCATCATCATCATCATCATCATCATCATCAGCATCATCATCATCATCATCATCATCATCGTCATCATCACCACCACCATCATCAGAATCAGAATCAGCATTATCATCATCACCACCATCACCATCATCATCATCACCACCATCACCATCGTCATCCTCCTCATCATCATCACCACCACCACCACCATCATCATCATCGTCATCATCATCACCACCGCCATCATCATAATCATAATCAGCATCATCATCGCCACCATCACCATCATCATAAGCATCATCAGCACCACCACCATCATCACCATCATCGTCATCATCATCATCAGCAGCAGCACCATCACCATCCAGAAGCATTCATCAGCATCATGATCAGCAGCAGCATCATAATCAACATCATCAGCAGCAGCATAATCAGCATCATCAGCATCATCAGCAACATCATCAACGTCAGCATCATGATCAGTAGCAGCATCATCAGCATCCTCATCACCTTCATCTTCATCAACATCATCATCGTCGTCGTCGCCGTCATCATCATCAGCAGCATCATCCTGACCCCATTCATCATCGTCATCGTCATCGACATTGTCAGCAGCAGCATCATTACCACTCCATCCTCCTCAATCCCTATCTTCCCCTCTCCACACCAACCCACCCTTCTCCTCACCCTTTTAATCCTCACATCTCCCTATTTCCCACTGCCTCTAGAGGCCTACAAAGCGTCCAGAGTATCCTGGGGACCTCAAGAGATCTGGTCCCCATCCACCTTCTCGTTATCCAACCCCCCTGCTCTAGATTACCTCGTCCTCCTCCTCCTCCTCCTCCTCCTCCTCCTTCTCATCATCATCATCATCATCATCATCATCATCATCATCATCATCATCATCATCATCATCATCATCATCATCATCGTTGTTCCTCCTCCAACTCCTCCTCCTTCTCCTCCTCCTGATCCCTTCTTCCTGCTCGATTCTCCAGCTTCCTTCTTCCTCCTCCTCCTTATCCTCAAACTCTTCCTCCTCCTCCAATGTCTCCTTCACGTCATCACCATCACCATCACCACTCAGCAGCATCATCAGCAGCATCGTCATCATCATCATGATCATCATCATCATCGTCATCGTCATGATCATCATAATCGTCATCGCCAGTTTCATCGCCATCATCAGCAACATCATCAGCAGCAGCATCACCAGCATCATCATCATCATCAGCATCAGCAGCAACATTGGCATCATCATCAGTATATTCACCATCGTCGTCATTATCATCACCAGTCATCGCAATTCCAATAGTGCGTAAGAATAAACAGCATCATAATCATCACCACTGTCTTCGTCATCAGAGTCATCGCCATCACCATCGTAAACAACAACAGCAACAACAATGACAGCAGCATCATCATCAGCAGCAGCATCAGCAGCATTATCATCATCATCATCATCATCATCATCAGCAGCATCAGCATCATCAGCATCAGCATCATCAGCACCATCAGTATCACCATCATCATCAGCATCATCAGCATCGCCACTAGTATGATTCAGAACCACCACCATCAGCACAATCAGCATAATCATCGTCAGCAGCATCATCATCATGATCATCAGCACCATCATCATCATCATCATCATCATCATCATCATCATCATCATCATCATCATCATCATCATCATCATCCTCAGCATCATCACCATCATCATCAGCATCATCATCATCGATATCCTCTGCGGCAGCAGCAGAAGCAGCATCAGCATCATCATCATCACCAACACCATCGTTGTCATAACACTCGGCATCGCCATCACCATCGCCAGCATTATCATTATCAGCAGCACCAGCAGGCTCAGCACCATAATCATCACCATCACCATTATCAGCATCGTGGTTGTCGTCATCGTCGTCATCGCCATCAACCTCGTCTTGGTCTTCGCCATCGTTGACGCCATCAGCAGCATCATCATCGAAACCAACATCAACATCAAGATCCAGCATCATCCATCGTCGTCTTCACCAGCATCATCAGCAGCAGCAGCCACATCATCATCATCATCATCATCATCATCATCATCATCATCATCAGCATCATTATCAGCATCATCATTGTCATCATCATCATCGCCATCGCCATCGTCATCATCATACTCATCATCAGCATCATCATCCTTCCCAGACTGGTAATGATAGACAGCATCCTCACCACCGGCACCGTCTTCGTCGTCAGAGTCATCGTCATCGCCATCGTAAACATCATCACCATCACCAGCCAAAGACATCATCAACATCATCATCAGCATCATCAGAAGCAGCATCATTATCATTGACAGCAGCAGAAAAAGTATCATCCGCATCATCATTATCATCACCACCACCGTCGTCGTCATAGCAATCGTCATCGTCATCATCATCGACAGCATCATCGTCAGCAGCAGCAGCACCATCAGGATCAGCATCATAGTCATCACCTGAACCACCATCATCATCATCATCATCATCATCATCATCATCATCGTCGTCGTCGTCGTCGTCGTCGTCGTCGTCGTCGTCATCGTCGTCATCGCCACAATCATCGTCATGGTGATCGCCGCCGTCATCGTCATCGCCTCGTCACCGTCATCATCATCATCATCAGCATCATCAGCATCATCATGATCGTCGCCGTCAGCATCATCATCTGTATCACCACCACCACAACCAGAACCGTCATCATCATAATCATCATCAATATCATCATGATCATCAGCAGCAACATCATCATCGTCATCATCGGAAGCAGAAGCAGCAGCATCATCATTAGCAGAAACGTTATCATCATCACCAGAATCATCAGCATTTTCTCCTCTGGCGGCTCACACGCGCGAGGAGTAGCAATATTGTCACTGAGTTAGAGTATATTACAGACACGGAGAATTGGTGCAATCGGCGATTCCCACGCTGGAGGACTAGTTGCCCAGTCAGAGAGGAGGCGAAAGAGTGAGGGAAAGACGAGGACGGTCAGCGCCTGGAGCAGCAGAACAAAGGCATCACGTCGGATTGCACCGTTGTGCAAGCCATGCGCTGTGCTCTCCCCCCACATTCGACCGAGCAGGGGGGTGTGGCAAGGGCACGCCACAAGACAAGCAAATTCGGCCAAGTTGGATGGCGATGCAGGTCGGAAACGCGGCACTAATATCACATCAGCGCCCTCTCGGCGCAGGCTATGCACGCCATGGACACCCTAGCTTGCGCAAATTTGTGCAAGTACTCGAACAAGGGTAAAACTGTTCAGGTCTGATCGAATTGAGTAGCCAACGGGCGAGCAGTCATGCAAGGGCGCCTGGCCATGGAACTCCGCTCGGGAGCACCATCTTCCCCCGTCACTTCGCCCCTCCCCCGCAACATCCACTGCGGCCATGGCAACCTGAAAGGTGCCTACCCGCGCGACTAGCACAAAAAGTGCGCCGGGCTGGAGAACTTGCTACCGAAAACACGGCGAGAGCTGGGAACCAGAAGCACTCCAACCCTCACGACTGGGGAAAGACCTAAGCTCCTGAGATGTTGAATGTGAAGGTCCACTCTCCCCTCCCGTCTCCCGTCTCCCGTCCCCCACCCCAAGCGTTCCCGTCTCTCGTCTCCCCCGCGCAAAGGGAGGCGGCGACAGTGGCGAGGAGGAGGCTGTGCCCACGGCGCTCTGGCTACGCCGCGGCCAGGGACGTGTCCTCCTCCTCCTCCTTGATGTCGCCGAGGAGTTTGGACTGCCTGGACTGCCTGCTCGCTCCGCTCAGCTGCCGCCCGAAGCCGTCGCTGGCTCCGCTCAGCTGCCGCTCGAACTGCGCCTCCAGAGCCGCCGACTTGTTGATGCTCTCCTTCTGGGAGCGGACGAAGAGGGCGTGGACGACGGCGAGGCCGCAGTAGAGGCACGAAGGCATAAGAAGCGTGAAGAGCCCGCAGACGTTGTACATGATCGTGCCTGCGTAAGCGCCCCCGATGAAGCCGGCGAGCAGCAGAGACATGAGGAGCACCTTGTTCCTGTCCACGGTGTGCTCCTCCCAGTCCTCAGGCGCAAAGTTGCTGACGGACAGACGCTTCGTCAGGAACCTGGAAAGGATTCGGCCCGCGGCCAGGCCGAGGTCCGTGCCCGTCCCGGTCATGTGCGTCGTGCGGATGACGTTCCCGCTCCAGGACGAACAGAGCCCGTTCTGGAGGCCGCAGCCGAGGGCCAGGAGGTGCGCGCCCAGGATGCCGTAGCCGGTCACGAGCGTCGGGGTGGCCATGATGAGCGCGAGCAGCATAAGGGCGGACGAGTACGGCGCCTTGCCGAGCTTGAGCGTCGCTTTGGGGATGAGCAGGCCACACAGGATTGATCCGATGACGAAGTCGAGAACGAGCAGCGCTGGCGTCGGCACGTCCCCCTCCTGGTCTCCGAACTGGCGGAGCCCGATCGCAGTGGAAGAGCCGGAAACGTGGCTGACGTACGTGCCGAACTGTGCAAATGCCACGGCGTTGACCATTCCAGCGCAGATCGCCAAAGTAAAGCCGCTCACGTGCACCCCGATCTTCTCCCTGCTGTCGACGCTTACGGACTCGACAACAGCAAGCCTTTCTTGGAGCGCGGCACGGAAATGCCGGCTGTCGAGCGCTTCGCCAATCGACCCTAAAGTTTCGTCACTGATCATCATTGACTGAGAGCGCTGCATGACAAACCCTGACATGTTCGCGGGAGAGTACGACGCAGAGCGAAACACTGGAGTCAATTAAGCAGCTTGAGTCACAAAGGCTACGGTAGGTTCGTGTTGTGTCGACCGGCGGCGACCCCGCCAGCGGCGACCCCGCCAGCGGCGTTCAACTTTAAACGCCGCGGGCGACCCAAAATCGGTCGATGTGGAACAATTTGGACGTTTCGGAAACGGCCGATCCTTCAGGGTTGAAGGATGCCCACGGTGTCAGAAACCAACGCCACGGTCGGCACGACGCGAACCTTGCAGTGCGGAGGAGTTGGGGATGAGACGGATGAGAAGACGCAGGAGGAAGAACAGGTCGACCGTGCCCAAGAGGGGGCAACCTAGGACGCGAACCTGGAAGTGCGGAGGAGTTGGGGATGAGGAGGACGAGAAGACGCAGGAGGGAGAACAGGTCGACCGTGCCCAACAGGGGGGCAGCCCAGGATTTCACCGAGCCTCACCTCCGGGCCAGAAGCGGTGGGGTACTCCAGATTTCGTAATAAAAGGGAGGGGGGTCTCATTTCGGGGGGGGGGTCTCTTCCAGGCTGTCTTGGAGGGCCTGGGGGGGTCTGGGGACGATGTTTTGGAGGGTTCTCCCACGGGGGAGGTCTGAAATGGCTTGTCTTGGAGGGTCCAGACCCCCCCCCCCTTTTATTACGAAATCTGGAGTAGGGGGCCATGGGAACAGGCAAAATGGAGCGCAAGAAAACGACCACCGCAAGAACGGAAATCGCAGTAGACACGCACGACCACAAATCCTGCAACAAGAGGTACCAGCCAGCGCTGGCCCAAACGGTGTGTTTTTGTTTCTGGCAATATGTGTGTTGCAGTCTACGTGGCGCAATTGGTTTTTACAAACGAGTTGAGGAATTTCACGCTCCTGCAAACATTCCACCCACCCTCCCGCAATTTGGGTTTCAAAACCAACGCAGCGGCTTGGCGTTTGGCTGGTGCCTCTCTGCGGCCGCGATAGCCCGCGCATGCTCGCGCGCACAACAGCCAGCTACATTGGCGCGACCGACGCGGCCGCGGTGGCGCTGACCGCTGGGCACTTCCCAGCGGGCACTTCAATGCGAGTTGGTGACTTGGGCGGGCGCGGTATCATGGCGACGCCGACAACGGCAAACACGAGTATGAGAGTAGCGATGGTGACGAAGCTGGCGATGCCGACGGCAAGGCCAATGACGGTACCGATGGTGATCACGCCCGCCGATGACGATGACGATGTCCTCGCATCGGCGATGAAGGTTTTTGAAGGAGCTCGACATGCGCGCGAGGCCGACGCGCGCGATTGGCCCGCGTGGTATTACTTGACACGGATCGTGCGGCCCCCCGGCACGCGCGCAAGGGCGCTCAAATAAGTTCGGCATGCGGCGCGACAGGCCCGTTTGGCAGAATGTGATGAAAATGTTGGAACACCGATGGTTTCTTAAGAATCCGCATGAGCGCGAGCGCAGGATGCTTTGAAAACTGGTGTTGCAAAACAATGTGTTTATCTGTTTTTGGGGCACTCGAATTCGAAACTCGTGCGAAGCCGAAGGTTGTTCCCGAGGATTCCGGCACGCGCGCGCGACGACGCGCGCGCGCGAACTTCGTGCTATATGTTGCAAGGGGTTCTTGCGACAGCACGCGCGCAAGGACGTTCGAACGATGTCGACATGCGCGCGCGAGAAGCCAACTTGGAAACATGTTATGAAAACGTTAGAAACCTATGATGTTCTTAAGAATTCGCAAAAGCGCGGGCGCAAACTTTGTTTTGAAAACTCTTGTTGCAAGACCATGTGGTTTCATCTGTGTTCGCGACACTCGGTTTCGACACCCTTGCGAAACCAGTGGTTTGTTTCACAGATTTCAACATGCGCGCGCGACGACGCACGCGTGTGCATTTCGTCCGTTTTTTTGGGCCAGATATGATTATCCAACTCGACTTATTCCATAGGAGCCCTAGCTCATCATAAGTAAATGTTTTTTCGCCCCCCCATACACACACAATTTCCAATGGCCCCCCCGTTTTTCCAATGCCCCACCCCCCTTTCCAATGGCATATGCTTGTTTGCTCTTGCGTGTTTGCTCTCGCTTGCTTGCTCTTGCTTGCCCTTGCTTGCTTGCACTTGATCGCTGGCTCTTGCTTGCTTGTTAGTGCTCGCTTGCGCTTGCTTGCTTCCGCTTGCTTGTTTGCGATTGCTTGATGTTGCTCCTCCCGTTCTCCTCTCGTCCTGTTCACGTCCTCCTTCCGTCCTCCTCCCATCATCATCTCGTCCTCCTCCTGTCTTCCTATCTATTGGGAGTCAACGCTGGCTGGTAATGAGAACTGATGACTGCTGATAAACAGGAGTGCGCGCATGCTGTTTCTTCTGCACAGGATGGCGGGGGGGGGCCATACCAGCTGGGTTGGGATGGTATGAACTCATACGTTGGATGGAAAATGGGGCAAAACCATGTGTATATTGCAAAAAGATTGAGAAAGAAGGAGGGGGAAAAAAAACAACACACAAAAAAAAACAACAAAAAAAAAAAAACGTTCATGCCAGGGGGAATCGATTTCTCTTTTTCTTCTTTGAAAGAGAACTCACCAATGCTCGCAGTGGGCTGTCAACTCTGCTACCCGCGCAATCATCCCACCCACCCACCCGCAATTTGGTTTGCAGACCCATGCGGCGGCGATTGCGACGAGTGCTTGGCGTTGGCTGCTGCCTCTCTGCGGCCGCGCTAGCCCGCACATGCTCGCGCGCACAACAGCCAGCTAGTTTGGCGCGACCGACGCGGCCGCAGTGGCGCTGACCGCTGGGCACTTCCCAGCGGGCACTTCAATGCGAGTCGGTGACTTGGGCGGGCGCGGTATCAAGGCGACGCCGACAACGGTAGACACGACGATGAGAGTTGCACTGATGGTGACGGTGGTGGCGATGATGGCGGCAAAGCCAATGACGGCGCCGATTTTGATCACGCCCGTCGGCAATGATGACAATGTCTTCGCGTCGGCGATAAAGGTTTTGGCAGGAGTTCGGCATGCGCGCGCGGCCGACGCGTGCGAGTGGCCATCGTGGTATTACTTGAATCGCCCCCCCCCCCCCACGCGCGCGCAAGGGCACTCGGATGAGTTCGAAGTGCAGCGCGAGAGCCCCCCTTGGCAGAGTTGAATGGCAATGTTCGTAAACAAAAAAGATTCCGAATTCGCAAGAGCTCGCGCAGGCTTCATTTGAAAACAGATGTTACAAAACCATGTGATTTGTTCTTAATGTTTTCGCGACAGTCGAGTTTGACATCCTTACGAAGCCCAGGAGTTGTTGAAGGATTGCGGCACGCGTGCGCGACGACACGCGCGTCCGCACTTCGTCGCATTTAAACATGGCTTGTGCGACAGCACGCGCACAAGAGCGTTCGAACGATTTCGACATGCGCGCGCGAGAGACCCGTTTGGTAATATGTTATGGACGCGTTGGGAAACAAAAATCGGATTTCATGAGGATCTGCAAGAGCGCGAGCGCAAGATTCGTTTGAATAAACTCGTTGCGGCACCATGTGTTTCTTATATGTTCTCGCGACACCCGATGCTGACATCCTTGCGAAAACTACAACTGTTTTCAAGATTGGGCAACACGCGCGCGACGACGCGCGCGCGCGCAGTTCGCCCCAGATGTTGCAAGGGATTCTTGAAAATGTTGATAAACGAACGCGGGCGCACAATATCTTTGGCGAAGGATGAAGGGGGTGTCGATACCAGCCTGGCCGGGATGGTACGAATTCATACCCAAGATGGACGACGGGGCAGAATCATATGGAAACTGCAATACGAAGAGGGGGGGCGGTTGATTCCAGGGGGGAGATCCTAATATCCTTTAGAATGGAAAATAAATGTTGGTTCGTAGTGAGTTGACAACTCTGCTGGTCGCGCAATCATCCAACCCCACACCCGTGACTTGGCTTGCAAAACCAATGCGGGGGCGATGGCCATTACTGCTTGGCTTTGGCTGGCGCATCGCTGCTGCCGCGCCAGCGCGCGCAGGCTCGCGCGCAGTGCGGCCAGCTAGTCCAGCGCGACGGACGCGGCCGCGGTGGCGCTGACCGCTTGGGACTTCCCAGCACGTCTCGCAGGTCGCGCCGACGCGCGGGCACATCAGCGCGAGTCGGTGATTCGAGCGGGCGCGGTATCATGGCGACGCCGACAACGGCAGACACGATGATGATAGTAGCGGTGCTGGTGACGATGACGGCAATGACAACGGCAAGGCCAATGACGGTCCCGATGCTGATCATTCCGATGACGATGATGATGTCCACGAGTCGGTGATACAAATTTTGGAGACCCGCATGGTATTTCTGTTGTCAGGGATCGTGCCCCCCGCACCAGCACGCGCACAAGGGCGCTCGAATGACTTCGACATGAGCGCGCGAGAGGCCCCGTTGGACGCAGTGGATGAAAAGTTTGAAAAATCGATGGTTGTCTTAAGAACTCGACAGAGCGCGAGCGCAGGCTTTATTGACATTTCCTGTTGCGAAACTGGTGGTTGCTAGTCTGTGTCCGGGACACTCGAGGTTGAAACCCGTGTGAAACCCAAGGTCTTTGAAGGATTCCGGCATGCGCGCGCGACGACGCGCGCGTGTGCACTTCGTCCTATTTGCTGCGAAAGATTATTCCGACAGAACGCGCGCAAAGGCGTTCGAATGATTTCGACATACGCTTGCAAGAGGCACGCTTGTAGAATTGTAAAGAAATGTCGAAAACCCATGATTTCCCAAAGAATTCACAGAAGCGCGAGCGCAGGCTTTTATAACACGCCACATTTTGAAAGCACGAGGTGTCTTGTGTCTTGTATATGTTTCGGGGCGCTCGGCTTTCAAATCCTTGCGAGACCTCAGGTGTTGAAAAATTTCGGCATGCGCGCGCGACGACGCGCGCGTGTGCACTTCGTCCCGTTCGTTGCCTATGGCTCTTGGAAACTTATGAGTTTTGATAAACGAGTGCGCGCGCATAGAATTTCGGAAAGGACTAAAGGGGGTCGGTAGTGGATTGCCTGGGATGGTGGGAATACAGATTTAGAAGGAGTGTGGTAATCCTAATCATTTGCAAGAAAGGGGAACAAGTGTGGTAAACAAATGCTGTGCAAAATACGTGTTGCAACATATATATATAGAGAGAGATAAATAGACAGATACACACATGTATATACATATATGTGT